TGCTGTTAATGTTGCTACTGTCACATGAGCAGTAAGCAGTGTATCATGAAGCTCTTACCACGATCTGCTCATCTGTGCTCTTGCGGAGAGCTTCTTCAAATCGTTTTGCTCGATCTCTGAGACTACGGTTCTGAAATGTCAGTGTGTCCACCTGATCCTGATGACCGTGGATATTAAACTGTTAATGACTTAAACTATTAACTATGTCATATTATGCATTTTTAAGGAGAACTGTTAACCTGCAGTGACAGTCTGATCTTTTCAAACTCTTCTTCCAAAGACTTCCTCTGTTGTTCATGGGCCATCTTCAAATCTGACACGAGAAACACACACCGTCATGTTTCTTGACTTGTGGTGATTCGGTGCAGGGTGGCAACAGGTTTTAAATGGGGCGCTTACTCTTCACAGTCCTGGCATGCTCCTCTTGCAGAGTGGCCAGTGTATCATTGTGAGCCGTCTCCATCTCCATCAAGGACGCCTCATGGTTCTGACTCATCTCCTCAAGCTGCAGGCAACAATCACAAAAATAACTCATCAGCGCTACCCGCTGTTCACATACATGCATATATATATATGAACACCATGCAACACACTATTTTCTCCCATTTTTGTTTCTCTTTAATAAATGATTCTGTTAATATTTTATAAATTAAAAAAAATTCATATTTAAAAATAACCGCTGTGATTTACTTTTGTCTTTTAGATAAACTTGTGTTTTTAGTTAAATTTCACTCTCACTTCTCATATGAGATTTGGATAAACATGGCGGTTCATATCCAGGCTGCCTAGCACAGACCTGCTCCTGCTGTTTGAAGTGTAGCTCTTCCAGCTCAGCTCGCTGCAGGGCCTGCAGACTATTCGTCTCATCCACGTGCTGTGCTTTCAGCCGCTCCTCCAGCGCTCCCAGCTCCTTCTGCTGCTGAGCCCGCAATCCCTGCAGCTCAGACTCAAAACGACGCTCCAGTTCCTCCTTCTCCTGCTGCAACTGCTCCCAGTGTGCAACACTGACAGCTGGAATAGAAACAGAATAGAAGAGACACAGACAAAAGAAAAAAAAACATCCTAAAAAGACAGGCAAGTCATTTCGACTCCACACAGTCTTGGTTTTTCTTTTTTTTTTCACTCTTATGGTGCTATATGTCACAAGGGTAGTTTTAAAAGTAAGAAGGATAAATCTATAAAATTCTTAATATATTTTTAATTGTATTACAAGTCTGTTCTAAAGTGTGACTTGAAACTGTGTCAACATAGGAGTTTTGTTGTTGTTGTTTTTTTTACTTTATAGACCAGACACACACCTTAACGTTCAGTCTAAGACTAAATCTAGACTGCTGTCTGCAAAGTGAATTCCCATGGGCCATATGGTCAAACACTCGGTAATACATCATGGATTGCAAGCGATGAGTGACTCACTGCTTTCTCTCCTCCCTGTGGTGCCATAACTGTAACGCCGTATCC